CGCCGCCCTGTGCGACGGCCGTTGCTTCAGGATATTCCAGGAGCAATGATGGCACATGGCGACATCTTGAAGCTTTGCGTGATGAACGTCAGCATGTCATGTGTTGCAGTTGGAGCGGTACGAGCCGAGGCGCATGGCAAATCTCGCCTGTTCCCCAACAAACGTGGTTAGTGACAAACTGGAAGTGCAGTCATTGTGCATGGAATGAGTGGCACGACTTTGATTGTCCCTTCCAACTCCTGGACCGCTAAGTCACTGATATGTTGGTTCCATCCGGGAATGAAGCTGCCGGCCTGCTTGGCTTCGGTCAACATGAAGGCGGCTCAACCGTGCATCCGATGGCTTGAGGTGCGGTCTCATGGATGTAATGCTTCCGATGTCTCCCGCGAGGACTATCCGTTCACAATAGTCAGTGAGCTTCTTGTCATGGAGTTGATGGAGAAGGTGGAGGCACGTTCAGCTTTGGGATCAAAGCGAGTTCCCGGCTTACCTACGACGGCACAGGCCTTTGTGGAAGAGGTCTGTGAAAAGTCGGACGAACCCGTCCAGTTCCAGATTCAGGTGCCGCTGGAGCATGCGAATGCTTGCATGTGCTCTAACGGACTCGAACGGTCCTGTCGCATCTTGTCACTGAGAGGGCTGCTTGCTTGCAACACGTGCTTCTGCATCGTGCTTTTTCCAGGTGCTTTGGAATACAAAGGATAATAAGAAGGCCGGCGTGTCGAGTGTGACAATCATGTACGCCCGTCTGCAGTCTTGGCAAGGGTTCTTCACTCTTGGTTGTTAGCTGGGGCAGCGTCAAAGAAAACGGCCGCCTTTGGCGAGTCTTTAGTTTAGAGTTTAGAGTTCACAATGTCATGATGTTCAAAAATCGTTTTGAGCAAACATCCTGCCTCCATCCCTGTACTCTGTGGCACCAGAAGTCCAGGCCTTGAATCCTGGAGACAAAGTGGGAGCACATTTCGTGGATGGGCCTGGAGCTGAGCTGACATTTCAAGGTGCTAGCACCGCACGGGCTGCTCCTAGCGTTGAGCTCTCCAGCCACCGATGTCATTGCTCGGCTCCACAGTTTTTCAATTTAAAGTTTCTGCGCTGTGGCATTGCAGGGACACCTTCGGCATTCATGGAGACATAGTCGCGGCACCAAAGTTGCGTCCTGAGACGCGCCTCTGCGAGATCTTCTTGTACCGGTCTGCTTGAGAGCAAGACAGGAGTTTCCCAAAGATACCCGACGAGAAGAAACTGCCAGCGTCGCCCCTGGAAGTCTGGCAAGGGCACTGGGACGGTGGCGGTGCAACAGGACAGTTGCCTGGCTAAGGTCACCATCCTGACCGGCTTCCTCGGAGCCGGCAAGACAACCCTCTTGAACTACCTCCTGCAGGCATCGTGCAGCATATATCGCAAGCCAGGGAGCATGGTTTTGACGCTTCCTTGGCCGTTCTGGTAGCTGGGAGCGCGCTGCTCCTGACTCCGTCGTCTTCCATTTGGCTCAACTTATGCAGCTTCAACTTGAGGCTAGTCAGTCGTGCTGTGTAGCCATGGCAACTCTGGTGCGGTCGGCATCTCGATTATGCGGCTTGTCTTCATCAGATCTTATCGGTACTCGTTGCAGCTGTAGTGAGCTTCGATGTCGCCGGAGTAACGGCGGTCGGAAGTAGTACGGAGCTTGTTGCATGCCATGGCCCTACCTGGACATACTCTCGGTCATAACAGTCGAAGTTGCAGCAGTCATCACAACATGCACGAGTGGCTGTCAGCATGCTACAAGCATCTTTTCCGGAGAGAGCCACGCAAACCTGGCCATGATCGTGACTCAGAATTTTCATCATAGTGCAACGTACTGAGCCCAACATCCAGGTCCGTGCGAAGCAAAGCGACGGATAAGATAGGCATCCAAGTTCTAATGGGAGAGATGGGACATGCGACCATGCCAGGGCAGCAGTACAAAGGCAAAGCAACCTTGAAAGACCGCAGCAAGACCATCCGAGGTGCCGTGCTCGGTGTACTTACCCTGGCCTCCGGTGATGAGTGTGAGGCGCGGCGTTCGAAGTCGTTCTGAGACGACGCAGTGCTTGCATACTTTCCAGCAGTCGCCCAGGCTAGTATGACAATAAGCATCAACCCACATGCTCCATGTAAGACGCTGCCAGGCCGGTGATGAAGTCAAGCTTATGCAGCTCAATCAAAACCTTACCCGCGGGGACGAATGTCGGGGATTTAAAGAATGTCCGCCATGGCCGCTACCGTATAAGATTGGCGAGCATCTTGGACTTCACACTTCGTTTAGTGCTTCATGGCCTGCCTGCTGCATGTGCGCGGGGATGCAAGTAGTGTTGGTTGTCAAATCACGAGGTATCCGAAAAACTACCCCTGGGCGCCAATTCCAGAGTTTCCAGAGGGATTTGCCTGGGGACTCGGGACGGCAGCCTATCAGATTGAGGGAGCCTACAACGAAGATGGCCGTGGAGCCTCGATTTGGGACACGTTCACGGGGGCCAACACCGTGGGGATGCCGGGTGCTGTGTGCAAGAAGGCTCCATGCCCCGTGAACTCAGTAATAGCTGTGAAAGGTGCCACGGGCAATGTTGCCAACAACCACTATCACATGTACAAGAATGACGTGCAAGCCATGAAGTCCATGGGCTTGAAGTGGTATCGTTTCTCAATTGCATGGCCTCGCATTGTCCCCACAGGCACTTTTGCTGATGGCATAAACCAGGCAGGTGTTGATTTCTACCACAGCTTGCTCGACGAGCTAATCGCTGCGGGTGTAACCCCCATCATTACAATGTATCACTGGGATCTGCCGCAAGGACGCTAGCAGCTGTGTTCGCTGTACTTGTTGCAGTGATCGAGATGAGACCCCCGAGCAAATGTCTGCTCCAGGACTGATGGACTTTGATTTCGATTCACCACAGAAACCTTGCAACGGTGGGAAAGAGGGCTGGTACGAGTGCAGCATGGAAAGCGACGGCAAGCCAAAGCCTAGCGGCCTCAAGTCCAACATTGTGAAAGAGTTCACCAACTATGCGGAGCCCCTCAGACTCATTTTGTAGTGTAAGATGCACCTTTTGATTACTTGGAGGCTGCTGGAGGGAACGGCCTGTTGCATTCCTTCCTGTTTTCAGGTTTCTCTTGAAGGAGTACGGGTCCAAGGTCAAACTCTGGGCAACCTTCAACGAAGCGTACACCTTCACTTATTTGGCCAGTGGATACGGCAAAGCACCGTCGGCGCAGCCGTACATGGACATGGACATCTGGCCGTATGTGGCAGGCCACAATGTGATCCTTGGCCACCTGAGTGTGGTCATGAAGTTCAGGGAGTTTCAGGCCTCGGGGGTTCTCACGAAGGAACATCGGATCTTCATCACCAACAACCAGGACTGGCGGGAGCCCCTCACGGACAAGAAGGAGGACATTGCTGCCGCCATGTACGAGGTGGAGCGGCAGCTTGCTTGGTTCTGCGATCCGATCTACGGTGTTGATGGTGTTTTCGACTACCCTTACTCCATGCGTTCGACTTTTCCATACATGCCATCTTTCACGGATGAAGAGAAGCAGCTTCTAAAGCAGCATCGTCCAGACTTCTTTGGCTTGAACCATTATGGAACAGGCTACGCCAAGTTCGAGGATGGCAAGAACGTTATAGTGAATGGCGATCTTGCGCAAGGAAAATCTTCCTGGCTTTATAGGGCAGCCTGGGGCTATCGGAAGCTGTTGAATTGGATCAAGAATCGTTACGGCTCGGACCTGGAGATTTGGGGAACTGAATCTGGTTGGAGCGATGGCTTCGAGACACCGCTCGAATCCAAGCAAGACTGGGGCCGTTTGACATATTATTACACCTATATCTTGGAGATGCACAATGCCATCCGCGAGGAGACTGTTCAGTCTAACCCCTCCCTTAGTGCCTTAGTGACGTTGTGACTCATTGAGACGGGATGGAGTAAAGGCATGAAGTATGTCTGTGCTTGTTTGTTGAAGGGGTTCGTGCGATTTAGCTTACTCCGTTTGAGATGCCCAGTTTCCATGCTTGGCGTCTACATCTTTACCGTTCAGAGTTCAAGGATCAAGGGATCTTGAAAATCTCCGCTGTCTTGCAGGATGGAGTGAACATGAAGGGTTTCATGGCTTGGTCGCTCATGGACAACTTTGAATGGGAGATGGGCTATTCAGAACGCTTTGGCTGCTTGTGGGTCGACCTTCAGTTCGGTGAAGATCCGAATGCCCCCACAGCAGCACCTTGGTCTGCATCAGACAAATCCAGGACTTCATGGCCCATGCTGCTGCTGCTGCTGCTGTGAGTGTACCTGTGAGTCTATAAGGCGAGCCCGATCTACAACGCCTACTCTGGCAAGCTCGATGGAGTGTGCACCGACTGCGATGCTCCTAAAGTCAAGCCAGGCGCAGCGAATGCTCAGAAACAAACTCGCCACATCAAGAACTCTGTTCTTTTGCGCCTTGGATGGAACTTGCTTGTCGTTTGCAGGTGCAGTCCTACTCAGATAGATCTAGAATACGCATGCAGCATATGGAGGGATTTGGTCACAGTCATGCCCGAGCCACTCGTGGACAGCTGTAAGACAGATTTGTCGTCAAAAGGTTTCGACTGTGTCAACAGGCCTCTGCTGGTAGGGCTTTCAATCGCTGTATCCTATCTCAGGCTCATGTCCTTGTGGAAGAACAACGCACTGCCCAGTTTTGAAGAGTTTTTTGCAGCGGCAACTGCCCCTGACATCTGTTTCGGCGAAGGCCAAACCGACACAACAAAATGCTCCTGGGACGCAATGTCGTCGCTCAATGTCGCAACGTAGTCTGGTAGCTCTGCCGTCCGTGCGAAGTTCTCGGACCAGTTGATGCTTCGCACATTCCGTTAGTTTACGCTAGGTGCCATTGAGCACACTCATGCGAATCAGCATGGCCTCAGAATCTTTGATGTCTTGGGGTTGTGCAGCTCCCTACTGTAGTGGGGCGGAAGCACAAGCCCACGGACCTCGGCGAAATTTGTGCAAAGCCACGTGATACTGAAGGAAACGCATGCTCAAAGTAACAGAGCTTCGCAGAACCGGTTCTATGCGAGACACATGCTGCAGCACCTTCTGCCAGGAGCAGCGAGAGAAGAAGATTGCAGTGATCGAAAATGAGCGCGTGTCTCGGTAAGCCGGTGCGTGAAGTGCGGGGAAGACTCGATTCGACACCATACCGGCAGTTTGCGGTTTCTAAACCAAGTAGATGCCGCTTGTGCAGTTCTGAGGTTCGGAGAAATCTCCATCGACGACGCACTGTTGAAGAAGGTGCATTCTCCGACCCTTCTCTCGTTGCTAACTGTTCTGTTTAGCCTCAAGGCTTCTTGAAGATCAAATTAAATAATTAAGTTGCAGGAGAGAGCAAGAGTGAGTGACGACAGGTCTTTTAAGTGCAGCATGCCGCCGGCATGTGAGCATCGGATTGTGATCGAGTCTCCTGCTTTCCAACATCTCTGGCAGGATAAGATTGCTTTCGCCGAGAAGGTTGTAGCACGGGGCCCAGTGCAACGGCACTCATGGCAGCAAGTGTCCCAGTTTCGACAGTGTTCTTGACCAGCAAGTCTCTTCAGTCTCGTCTTCTGGACAGAGGTTATGGACAATGGCCGTTGCCTTACTTATTGTGAAAATCAGAGCCACTCTTGAAAGACAAGACCAGTCGCCGTGCATCTCTCATTCGGAAGTGACCGCGAAAGCTATGCAGCTGAAAGGTTGCGTGTGCTGCACCATTCGTGGTGATCTCATCGACGGTTTCAGGCCTTGGTTGAAGGGATGTGTGGACTGCGTAGGCATAGACTCACCCTGCAAGCCTTGCAATAGCATGGAGGGTGCCGATGCAAGAATCTGAAATGTATTTCGCATGAATACTTTGCCGGTCACATTACGCAGGCAGATTCTCGACGAGCTTGAGAAGGGCCACCATCTTGATCAGATTGTGCTTGAGACCACAGGCCTTGGCGGTGGTGTCGACGATTCGTTTTCATATTCTGCGGCTCGTGTTGTCCCTATTCTCGACTAGTCTGCACGTCGTGTAATGCATTTATGCGTGTAAGGCATTTATGCGTGTAGGAACAAACGCTGCGATCGACGAAGACTGTCGGCTCGATCGCCTTTTCGACTTTTGCGCCCTCCTTTCGCCCCTCTTCGCCCGACCATGGGCTTTTCGTTCGTTCCCTCCTCTGCCGGTGCAGCTGGCTCCCCGGCAGAGTTCGATGTCGCCGAGTTCCTCGCCGCCACCGGCTTGGACTGTGTGGGCGGCACTACGTCGTCGCCGGCAGCGCCGTCGTCTGCCCCGCCTGGGGCGCACGCGGTTGATCCATTCAACTTCATGGACGCCGCGGTGCAAACCGAAGCCTTTTCATCGCCAGTGTCGTCGCAAGGGCTTCGGACGCGGCACTGGCGGCCGCCCTTCGGGCCGAGGATTTGTCACGCCTCGCCACGGCTCAGGCGGCCCTGCGAAGTCGATATCCCGGCGGGTGGCTTGGAGGCGATCACCTCCCACGAGCACGCCGTTGCCGACTGTCTTGCTAGCGGCGCCTAACCGTTGAGAGGCTTTCGACGGGGCGGCAGTGCATCCTGCGCCCGACTCGGGCGACCACGATGTAGGAACAAACGCTGCGATCGCCGGAAGACTGACGGCTCGATCGCCTTTAAGCTTCTCGAGTCCCCATCCACACCACCCCCTTAACGGATTATGCACCTTTACTGAAATTTGGCCAACACGTCCTTAGCCACGCGTTTGTTTCGTGGCCTTTCCGGTAGCATGGCCGGCCCTCGTGAGTCAGTGCCAGGCATGGCTGATCCAGTTCCGATTGTCCGAACGTTGGTCTCTCAGAGCAAATGCAATGCCGCCTTACATGCTGTGCCAGGGCAGATAGTTTGAGCTTTGAGACGCCGTGCCACCGAGGTTCATGACTTCAGAGGAAATCAACGCTCGCTTGCGACTGGATGGAGTGCCTCCTCGGAGTGATTGGAGACAAAGAGCTGGCAACCACCGTGCTGATTGGTGGCAATGCAAAGGTCATCACGGTTGCAGATGCGAAGAATATCTTGAAAAGGTTAGATGACGAGGTGGCCTGCTTGCACAACATGGAATGCGTGCAATGCAAGTGCCGCACTTTGTGATGCGATTACCTGGCCCTGTGTTAGGTTGAGGAGGGTCGCGTCAACGAAGCTTACCAGCAGGTGACGTCGTGGTGCAGGTTGTCATCGCTCTCAAGGGCTTCGCAGGGATCGTTTACTTCCGTTGTCACGAGCCAGCTTGCTCCTTTGGAGCTTGGGGGAGTTGTTGTTTGCAGATTTGGTTTTCGGGTTTGGGGAACCCTCGCTCCGGATACATCAGGGATCTAAGCGTCAGCAGGTGAACCCCTGCCCCGCCTTATTCTGTGATCAATTCGAAGGCATTGAGGGCCTTGAGGCCCACAGCCCCGCTCAAGGGCTTAGCCCGCTATCATTCGCAACATAGCCGCAGCATACATCTCCATAACTGAAGACAGCAGCATTGCCCAAGACTGTTTCACGTTCACCGCAGGTTTGTTCTTCCGATTCGCCGTTGTCTTTTTGTTTACTGCATTGAGTCGCTGTGCGTCGTTCAGCCCAGGCTTAGGTGTTGTGACAATGCGGCATGCGAGCTCAATTTCGCTATCGAACTTGATTGGATAGCCGCTTGCCTGCCAGTTCGCAGCACAGCACACAAGGAGGACAGCGTCATGCACTTTCTTTTGTCAGCACCTCTTCGCACTTGCAACGCGCAGCTGCCCCTAGCTTTCGTCTTTCGTCCTGTAGTTTTCCGTCGCCCATTGCAGCTCTGCATCTCGATCATCCTGCAGTTCTAGTTCCCGTGGTCTGTTAGAGGTGGCCTTCTGCGACAAGATTCTTTTGAACAAGCTCGACCTTGTGTCCTCAGAAGAGGCCATCAGCACGAAGGTGCGGAGGGAGTGATGGGTGGTCGTCTCCGATAGTTTGTGTCTAGTGCCGTGTAAACAGACTGCAAACTCAGATGAAACGGTTCAGACATGCCGATTCATGTTTTACTCGAACGACCGGTAAGTTTTGTGGCTCAATGACAAGGGCCCTCGTAGCGACAGGTGCGACTTCAGGCTTGTCTCTCTTCTTCCACGCTCTTCGCTTTCTCTCGTCTCAGTCGCCCTCGGTCCCGTCTGACTCGTCTCCTCCGTCCTTCCTGGAATCGCCGCTAGATCAGATCTGCCCAGCCGAGCGCTCAGACATTGAGGTGGCACTTTATTCTAGGATTCATTTGCCATCTATCTGTGTTGGGATCCTGATTGGGCTGCTTTTGGTGCCTGTGTGTGAAGCCATCCTCACCGCCCGCATTTTGCTGTTCAGAGCAGCCTTGCGGCGATTGCGGTACAGTTCTAGGGCTCCGCTCTATCGGCTGCTTTGAGCTGGCACACGGTGCATGAGCAGGGGAAGCTATCCTTCTGCTCGGGACTTCGAGGCTTTGTGGGCCGAGGTGTCCAGTCTTCGATCCGAGGTGCTGCGCTTGCAAGCTCGAGTTGCCGAGCTTGAGGACCTGAACCAGGGGTTTTCTTTGGTGGACAGCTCGGAGGCTGCTGGGGTGTCGGGCTCTATTGCTTCAGCACGGGGTCCTTCGGGTTCGGCGGCTTTGCCTTCGACCTCTGCCTTGGCACCACCTTCGGACCGGGACAGGGTCGGGATTTGCAAGCGAGTGGGCGAATTCTTGAGGCGAGCCCTGGACGGAGGGCACCGTGGTGTTTCCGGACGCGATTCTTTGGAGCTGGCTTCAAGGCATTGGGTGGTTATCCGTGATTTTCAGGGGCGGGTTCATTCGCCTCCTTTGGTCTTTTCGCGCTTCTCTGACTGCAAAGCATTGGTGAAGCGAGGGCAAGACGTTGGAGATTCGGTTTTCATCGGCCTTCCGAGCAAGGGAGATATCAAGGTAGCCCTTCAGGCAGGAGGCTTTGAGCTTCCCCTGGACCTATGAGTGCCGACGAGGGTGAGGAGGACGGGGTCGACGGCAGGACCCTGTACCTCTACGACGGGGAGACTGCCGACTGTGAGTTTGAAGTGGGCGTGCTTAGGGTCCTCGTTGCCGAGGGCTCTCCCGAGGTCTTGGTTGAGGTGATCTTGATTTGCGAGCTGGAGGGCCGTTCTCTTGTGGCTGTTCCGCAGGGGGGCTGGCATAGGCGGGCTGCTAACCGTAGTTTGCCTCCTGGCTCCCTGAGCAAGCCGGTCGCTGTGGAGGTGGCCGGTGCTGCTCGGGACGACAGACAGACTTTGCTGGTCAATCAGCGTCTCAAGATATGGCTTGGCTTCCTTCGAGATTCCTTGGTGGAGGCTCTGGTCTTCGAGCACGACGGCGAGGTGGATGTGGCCTTCGCTACGGTGGGCGGAGAGTCTGGGTTTGTGCCCCATGCCGAGGCCCTGATGGAGGTGGCGAAAGACAAGTTCCAGTTTGCCACGGCCACCGAGGGCGAAGCGCCACCTATCCCTGCTGCCCAACCTCAAGCGGCGGAAGCTGCTATGGAAGCACGGCTCGCAAAGCTGGAGCAATCGATTGCTACGATGGCTTCGTCGATGCAAGCTCTCACCTTGGATCGTGTGGAGAAGGCAAAGCCTCCACCTCCGCCTCGGCCTCCCCAGGCGGTGGAAAGCCTCCCGGGCTTGGATCCCGGGGTTGTGAAATCTGCTCTGACGGCGGGCATCGACATGGATTCCTTGAAGCAGTTTTCCCAGCTGTTGGCCGGCAACCCTGCGCGGCGCCTAAAAGACCCAGGGGCTGGTGTGGTTCCGAAGAAGGCGGCCCTGGACGAGTCGGAGAACGAGGGCCCGCCCGACGACCCGGAGGAGGCGGTTCCCGAGGCCGAGCTGCGAACGGCTCTCTCCCGAGATCCCATGAGCGACGCCCTGGTGAAGCTCACCACCCTTGTGGAGGACCTGCAGACCCAGAAGACAAAGCGAGGTTCTCGTCTGGAGCAAGCCTTGGAAGGCGCAGC